TTAACTCCGTTAATCTAAACCTTAATATTTATAACTTAGGTAATTAATTCGATGTTATAAATTCATTTTTTAGAATAGTTGATTTAGATACCAAAAGGATTTGCAATTGAAATTAAAAATCTAYTGGTGTTAAAATAAAAAGTACGTAGAGTGACATCCACACTCCGTATATTTTCTTACGTCATTAAAATAATAGTTCAATAGAATAAAAGCATTAGATTATGTTAAAGGTGGATTACCAATGTATTTATTTTAAACAGTTATTACAACTTAAATAAATTTAATATTTTTCAATATTTAATAAGTAATCGTATTTCAAATATGTATAACATTCATAATAAATGATAAAAAAAAAAGTTAGCAATTTGATCGTTTTTTATAGTTTTATTTTTCTTAAGCTATATATTGTTGGCAAATATAATATAGTTTATTGGAGGTGACTGGTAAAGAACGGTAAGAGCTCACGCTTCTTATTGAGTCAATTTAAGCCACATTTAGAAAGATAATAAAATAAAAAATGTGGTTGTTATTCAAAAATTTAAAAATTCAAGGTTTTAAAAGTTCAAAGATTTTTTTAAACGTCAAAAAAATTCTTTTTTTTTAAAATATATTTTTAAAAACATTAATATTTATTGTTAAAAAGCATTACCCACTATATGAAATAGAACATAAGAGGTATACAAAAAATTTATAAATTAGGATAATGCAGCTTAAAATTTAATTTTTTTTAGCTTAATTTAGACGATATCAAAAATGTCGTAAACATTATTATGTCATCGAATACCCTAGATAAGATCTATGCTAAGAGATAATGTATAGAAAAATTACTTATATTGTGAAATTTTGTTCATTTCAATTTTAAATCAAATATAATATATAGGTAGCCAGGTAGGTAATAATACTTTAAAACTTGTGACATTCCGATAACTTTTAATTAATTAAGAATATTTTATCTATTTTATAATTGATTATACATTTATAAATATTCGATAGTGGTAGGTACCTAATTATAATTAATAATGCCTTATACAGTTATATCGATTGCTTGGAAAACATTGTATAGAGGTATAAAATGTCAGTACCGTAGGAACTCTCAACAGTATATATGTATATAAACAAAAAACTTAAAAAATAACAAAGTGAGTTTGATGTGCTGTGCTGAATTAATTTTATACTCGAAATCATGTTTTAGCCTAGTCCCGAGTTAGCGTGCACGTTTTTTTTTTTTTTGTTATTCTATTATCTATGTAAATTGTATTGGTTTGACACTTTGACGTCTTATTAGATCTGTATTTAAGTATTTTGAATGATGTACCTACCTAATTATTTTAATATACCTCGGCGAAATGCTCAGTCTTGTTAAGTWTTTGACTAAAAGTATTCAAATATTTTTTAAGTACTCAAATACGTATTTTAATTTTAATTCTTTTTAAATACTCGAACAAAGTATTTTAATTAATTTCCCAAAGTATTTGTATTCGTATTTAAAATCAAATTCTAATTTTCAAATACTTATTCGTTAAGGTTTATTTATTTTCTACTTAAGTTTTAGTTTTCATTAAGTAAACAAATAAAATCAAGAATATATATTATTTTTATTTTTTACTGTGAATTATACTTAACTGAAAATTCTAAGACTTCTCCGAAAAGTTAGATGTGTTTTTTTTTATATGGTGTAAAATGCTCTATAAAATTAACATATAACATGAAAATCAGGTTCTGTTAATTAGTTGAAATTGTATTTATTTAAAATTTAAAGTAGGTATTTGGAATGCATTTATAAATACTTCTTAAAGTATTTGTAATCGTACTCAAATACTTTTTTTACTAATATTTAAATACCTACCTACTTTAAATAATTTTCTAAGTAAGGATCTATATCTGTACTTAAATACTTTTAAAAAGTATCTTTACAAGACTGAAAACGCATCACCGATTTTAATTTGAAATGTTCCACGCGACATTTTAAATTTTAATTACAAATTGTAATATTAAATAATTGTATTATTATATATCAATGAATATTTGTTTGAATAACTAATGGCATTTTATATGAAGGGTAGTGACCTTTGCAGAAGGGGGTAAGGATTGAGGATTGGATAAAACTGCATGAAACTATACTGTTATTATCCACGATTATATTCTGTATTATTTTTTTTTTTTACATTATAGTAGATTTTTTTATATTACATGTTTCAATTTATATAATTGAACAAGAAAAAAAGCATTGTTTGCAAAGGTGTTCATCTCGTTCATTGTCTGTCTGGCGTATATATAGGTAGTATAGAATGTTTGTGTTTGGCATATGTTTATTCAAATAACATAATCGTTCGGTTTTTCAACAGCACAACAAATGATTATAATGTATACTTGTTTATTATTCCCCGGCAATATAAAAGAACATTAGCTTTGTTTACAATTTCTGCAATGTGGGGTCCCGCTTGTCATTGTAGATATATATTATTAAAAAAAAAAAAAWWAAAAAAAAAATACATCCGCTGGGCATAAAATAACAAAGGCAATAGTCGTCGTATATGCAAACATRCTATATATAACGTATAATAATATTTTAATACTATATTTTTTATATTATCGATTTCGATAAAACTTTTGGTCTAATACTATTTTAAAATCAAAAACTTATACGGTTTCAGGAACTTCTATTGGGCGACGCCACCAAAGCCAAAACCGTACTCGGATGGGTCCCCAAAGTGAATTTCGAGGTAAATACCGATCGTACTTTRTAAATCGATTTTTAATACGTTGATTCAATAATGTATTGTAACATTCGCGTCATGTGAATATTGATTGTATTTTTCCAGCAACTCGTCTACGACATGATGGAAGCCGATTTGGCGCTTATGAAGAATAACCCATTGGCCTAAACTCTCTTGCTCGTGCAATAACTATTTTATATTATAAAACCTAATACTTAATGTATGTATATTTGGTTCATTGGTGGTTTTTATTATTGGATACACATGTTTTTTTTTTTAGAAGCTCAACCGTCTATTATTTTTTACGTTTAAATGCAATGTATAAATGTATAATTCATATAATTTTTAAATTCTTGGATAGAGTTTGTCTTTGAACATTCCGGGGTAGGCGTTGGCAATGTTCTATTATAAGCGGAGGTTTAGGATACATAAGTGGATATAAGTAGATACCAATTACGATACAATGAATTATATGAATATTGTGAACGGATTTTATATGTGTTAAAACTTAGTATGGCGTTTGACACTTTGACTCTACGCCATCTTTTGTTTATTTTTGTTGTTTTTTGAAATGATTTTTTACACATACGTACTAAAAATGTGTTGATGTAAAACTTAAAAACCATGCCTAATTTATTGCATTTCGTACGTTGGTGGTTGGTGTATTTATTTTGTATTTAATTGTATGCCAACGGTTTGATAATTTTGTATATTATAATCATTTTAAACTGTTTTTAAACAATCCAATATTAATTTATGGATATACAAGACAGCTACTAGTGGTCTCCAAAAACTTTTTTTTAAATTAAAATATTTTCAAGAGTAAATATTGATTATACTACGGTTATGATGTTATGAAAGGAGGCAGTGGTTACCTGCTTATTACGATTTTTAGTTTATAACACTTGAAAATTAATAACTAATTACTGAAGTAATTTTTATCTTACAATAATATTATAATWATTATTCTATAATATTGTGTGTGGCACGCAACCAAAGATATACCTATTAAAGTATTAT